TCTGAAAAGCGAGGTGTGCTCTGATTGGCCAGCTATCCAGTGCGTTGTGATTGTCTGAATACCTCAAGCGTGTGACGGAAATGTTACGGCCCTTACCGTGGCACATCCATCAAATATGAAAACGTACTTGCAGTCTGCGAGTCAGAAAAGCCGGCATTGTAACGTTAGTCTACTCTCCCAGGATCAGGAAACAGTCCTCCATAAAATGCGCTGCACACATCTGAATATTTGGGTTGAACTGTTCTGGGAAGCGGATATCGTCCTCTTTTGGAAGACCAAACAAAGTAGTTTCGCTTTCACAACGAAACACACAGCGTCTTCACGACATGACGGCGGCTGCAACAACAATACTACAGCGAGAATAAAAGTTACGCCTTCTTTCTTTACGTGAACATTAGAGTGGCATTATGCAAATCTTCCCATATTGTGACGTAGGTATGTGGGGCCGTGTTAGAACGAGCCGTTTTAGGGAGGCGTGGCTGACTCTTAACTTTTATAAAGAATATCTCTTTGGATTTGAGACTTTAGTCTTTGCAACTTTACAGATCTTCTTTATGCACCAAGAGCTTGTAACACTCCAAAGAGAAAGGAAAACTTGAAATCGTATCATATGACCCCTTTAAGCATAAACATGCCTGGATTTTTTTTATGAGCCCAGTCAACATAAAGCAGCCCAAATGGAGAAAATTTTAAAAATGGTTTTATATAAGTATTTTATATAATTATAGAATTAAATTAGAATTATATCATTTACTCACTTTCATGTAATTTCAAACCTCTATATTATTATTTTACCCATGCTATACAAAGGATAATTATATGAAACATTTTACATGAAAATACTATTTAAATCTTTCTACTTCAAAATTTCATTTAGTTCAATGTGTAACTTGCCGTTTCTTTGCAATTATTTGTGAGATTTACTAGCAATTTTCAGAATGAAAATAGTTTCAAAGTAAATCCAAAGCTAACTATAAGTGTACGCACTTTTACTTTTTGTGTGAACTATTCTTCACAAGTACTCACAAGTCACAAGTACTTTTCTCTTTCTCTCAGAGCATCCAGAGATGGCAGGACTGCTCTTCACATCAAGTGTTTGTGTGGGACTTCTGATTGTTCTAATAGCTGTTTCAACACAGCTAACCTGCAGTAGACATCTAAATGCAACTAGAACATTCAGAAAGAAGAGTAGAACAACTAATTTGGAAGAGGAGGAGCCAATGAACCAGGATAATGATGAAGAGGAGGAAGAGGAGGATGAGAAAGGGTCACTAATGGACAGCTCTAACCTGTCAGAGATTGGCAGGAAGGTGTATTGCTGGGAAGATGTGACGTACACCACAGAGGCAGCAGAGCTGATGGAGAGGATTGAGCGCAGGGAGCTTGTCATTCAGGAGATCAGGATGAACGCATACCTCAATGGAAACACATGCATCCTGCATTCATACATGCCGACTATTACGCAGAATGTGCAGTAGCTGTAGTTACAACCAAAAGGAGTGAGCATTTTGAATGCTTTCTGCTACCAAAACACTCAAATATAAAAAAAAGGTGAAGTGTGGAATTTTTGTATCGCAACTGTCTTCAGACAGGTTTCCAGAACAATTCCCTCATCTGCTATTGGTCTGCCAAACAAATGGCCCGCCCCTAAGTCACACTATTGGTTCAGCTAATTTTTTAAACAAACAGACCAATATTTTGATAACATCACAGATTCACTGTGCTACACTTTGAGTGAAATTAACCTACAACAGTCTCATAATAAGCCATGAAAGATGTATTTTAACATTAAAAAAATTACACACATCACCTTTGAAGACACTGTCAGGTAAAAAAAAAAAACGGATTTTTCACTGAGGACATAATAGCATAGAACAAGCAATACCTGATGTGGTTTACTGCCTGAGTGAGGGTGAAAGTTATTATTCTGTTCTAAAATTATTCTATTCAGCTGATAAAGTAGCTGTTGTATTACACTTTACATAATGTAAAGCCATGTAAAGAGAAAAGTATTTTATAAATTATTGCTCTATTAAACACTGGATGAATAATTTATGTGGTATTGTAATCGATTCAAATTCAGAAGACTGGTACAATTTTTAAATTAAAATGTATTATATTTAAAAGTGAAATCATAAAATGAAAATAAAATGAACACAAACAGGAAACTCTTTTATTACACAACATCGCACTCAACTTTTCCAGTGAAACCACACCTCCCGATACTGTAACCTCTATTTTGCCTTAAGGATACCAAAATGTTCTGTAATTCCTTCTCAACGCTCTCCAAATGAACTCTGCGGTGCCACAGCGATCCTTAGAGCTGCACAGCAACATCCTGTCTTTAAACAGCATCAAGTTTCAACTGAGTAACTGCCAGAGGCACAGACAAAGAGAGGAAAGGTGTTGCATCCTTCTGCCAATGAATCAGAGCAGAGAAATCTGATGTCTCGCTTTGCATTTACAAACAGTCACATAAATACCTTTCATATGTAACGAAGGCACCAAATTGCATAAAAACAACAGCAGTAGAGTGTAGAGATCTCTGATTTGTCAAATGGAGAGTGATTTTCTTTGTTCATCTATCTTGGGCCCCATTTGATATCTGTGAGTCCCTGGAACTGTCTTTTTAGGGCCTGTCTGTCCGACCAATCAGACTGAAGATGCGAGTCTTTATCTGTCTCTTCTAGTTTCTATTAGCAAGAACAAAACAGACCAAACAATGATGAATGCTCTAAAATAATAAGTAAATATATCTAGTTAGATATATTTTAATCATTCAAATAAAACTATATATAACACACAACATACAATAAGAATATAAATCAAAAGAGTTAGTTAGTTAGAGGCCACTCACTTTTAGTTCTTCCTGCCTCTTGTAATAATGCAGCATCATCTTTTTTTGTTCCTCTTCACTCACTAGTGGTTCTCGCGCTGGTGCACCCTGGCATCTCTAAAATGAATGTGCAAACAATGGTGATCATCAGTTTTCATTTCATTAGGTCAAATCATCTATATGGAAATTCTTCGAAGATAAGTTTAAACACCAGATTAAGGTCACAAAAATAAAACTGAAATTCACACCGAACACATACTTTATGAATTTTCACAATAATTTTCGTTTTCTCGTTTTTCCCAACATAATCCTGCAGCTTTTTGCCCCTCTGTAGTTCTTTAGATGCCCACCACAGCTGAGCCTCTTCTTCTGGGATCACCAGTAATGAGGCCTGCAGAGGAGAGCCTTCATATCAGTATTACAGCTTTGGTTATGTTCATCAAACAAATGAGGTACATTGTATTGGTCTGTTTTATTATTAAGCAATGTGCATGTAGTTATTTAAAGGGATATTCCATCTGAAAAATGACAATTATGTCATTTCCTCAGCCTCGTGTCGTTCCAAACCTGTATGACTTTACTTCTTCTGCAGAGCACAAAAGAAAATATTTAGAAGAATGTCAGGAACCAAACAACATCGGAGCCCACAGACTTAAAAAAACACACACACATTTCTTAAAATATCCTCTTCTTTGTTCCACAGAAGGTAGGCGGTCATACAGGTTTGGAATGACATGAGGATGACTAAACGATGACAGAATTTTAATTTTGGGTTGAGTATTCCTTTAAGAAAGGCAGAAAATATCTCAGATACCTGTGTTCCAGTAAGATCCTCTTGATTTTCAAACTCCATCCTTATTGGATCATGTGGAGGCAGCCCCTATGACTTTACTTCTTCTGCAGAGCACAAAAGAAAATATTTAGAAGAATGTCAGGAACCAAACAACATCGGAGCCCACAGACTTAAAAAAACACACACACATTTCTTAAAATATCCTCTTCTTTGTTCCACAGAAGGTAGGCGGTCATACAGGTTTGGAATGACATGAGGATGACTAAACGATGACAGAATTTTAATTTTGGGTTGAGTATTCCTTTAAGAAAGGCAGAAAATATCTCAGATACCTGTGTTCCAGTAAGATCCTCTTGATTTTCAAACTCCATCCTTATTGGATCATGTGGAGGCTTAACTATCATCTATTAACTATTGGGTAAACTATCATCACAGCTCCTCGCAACTGGTCCAAAGCCTCTTTGACCAAATCCATGGTAACGCAGATATTCGCTTCCACTTGTTTCTTTAGAGTAAAGAAATATATATCACAAAACATATCAAAAGGGTAACAACATATTGAGGTTTAGAAGTATTCTATATTAGAATTAGCTTCATACTTTTGAGATTAAAGCTTTGGCTTCCTCCACTGTTTTCCTTAAAACTTCTTTCATCTTCTCATTCGGAGCTAAATGGAAAGTCAGAATTTAGTTATAGCAATTAATCGGGCAATTCAAATGTAAACTTGAAATGTGACAGGACTACCATGTCCATTTCGTCGTCCTAGCTCATCCTTCTTAAACTCAGCAACACCGCTGGGAATACAGCGGTCCTCCCATTCATCCTTTAGTTTGAGCTCCATGATCTGATCATCAGTAAGGCCTTGCATATTCGGTGGAAGAGAGACACCATGATCTGCCAGCTCTGGAATTTCTATGGAGACATAAATTAAACTGATACTAGTTTTTAATGCTATAATATGCAATCAAACGTTTCACACTTGTTTTAGCACTTGACTTTATTAACGTAACGTTAACTGCCACTTACACAATAATACATGCATTTTAGGGTATGAACTCGTCTGTCAAGAACATAAACCAGTGGAACCCAAAGAATGTGATAAGCATACATAACATCATAGTCATACCAGAGCAGATCCTGTCCACTTTTAATCTTCCATTATAGATGGCGCTGACCTGCTGGGTCAGTGTCTCAATCGAGACAGCCACTGTAGTATTGAAGAGAAACTGACTCTCATCTCCTCGTTTGACGTGCAGCTGAACCATCTCCCACCTGCTGAATTTGTCCTGTGCAGGAATATAACAAATCTGAGATTTTAAGATAAAGAAGATATATAACCACCGCCCGACAACAACAGAGAAGTGTTGAGGAAACGTTTTGCGTCCCGCGACTAGCGCCTCACTGTGTTTGCGTTTGTTGCCATGACACCCAACACCGCGCTCCAAGAATATTCTAGCATGACATGCGAGCAGGCTGCATAACATATGAATTTGACGCGGCAACGTCGTGAAATTAATAATACAGACAATAGGCAAATTTAAGTAAATGAATAACGATTTTCAAATAACTTCCACTAATTATGCAAATTATACTCACACTTGATTCAGTAAATGAAGATATACGGATATACAGTCTATGGGGATACACGCAGCAACAGTAGAGATAAACTATTTCCACCGGAAGTAGCGTATTCAAAATAAAAGCTTCTTCAAACGCTGTCTAAAATAATGTGAACTTATTCTTCACTCTTTTCTAGTTAACTACATTAATTTAACACGATTGTTAGCTTTCAATATGCACACAGACGGATACGCATTCAATTATATCAAATACATGCATGATAAATATTACATAAAAGATGTACAAGAAGACACCAGGGGCAAGTTCAAGCTCAAACCGGTGTGCACCGTTTTGCTACGGTTTCCGGTTTGAACGACATGTTTCCTGGAAACGGTGTGCAACGGGGTTTGAGATACGTTTTCTCTTGTTTGGTGGGTGTGTCAAACATGTCAGCCCAGTCAGCAGCAACATGTATATAAACCACGTGGTATTAAAGAGACAGCTGCACAATGTAATTAACATCCAAATAAATTCACAAGAGCAAGTATATTGTTTGCACATGTTTATTTACATTAAAGGCAAAATAACTAAAATAATAAGAGCACAAGTATAGATCTGGAACTTCTTTAAGTCTGTCTAAATATAATTTAGTAATTGCAGTGTCTTCTGGTCCATATCCTTTACTTAGGAAGGTGTGCTAGAAACTGATTAATGTAACATAAAAAATACTATACATATTTATATATTTTGCTATTGTATTGAGGAGTGCCACTTTCATAAACTTTTCTATACCCCTCTGATTATATAATGGTAAATATTACAATAACATAGCACAACAATAGCGATCAGCAATAATGATAAGCCCAATACTCACAATAAAAATAATAAGGTCATATAGATCATAACACAGTCTTGGAGGTAAGAAGTGGATTATCCTTCACCTGAAATGTTTGTCTTTTCATCCTGAAATGCGAGGCAAATGTTGGATCACAATAATTAGGAACCACAGTTTCCACAAATCCCTTAATTTGATTGGGATGTTCTCTTTTATTCTGGACGGCAAGGGCAGTGATTGTAACATCGAGCGTATTTTGCAGTATTAAACACGTATTTATACCGATTTCATCAGGCTCCGAAAATTCTTTAAAAAGAACACAAAGAATGGCCTTCTCAGCTGCCATAGTTGCAACTCTTGCGTCATCAGAACAGGGTGTTCAACGCACCACCGTTTCCGTTTAAAAAACGTTTTACACCGTTTTTGTCAAGTTTCTCACTGGTTACTGGTTAAGGATTAATTACTACTTATAAATCAATGCATGTAATAACACAATTCTGCAAAACCGTG